TCTCCTTCTCTTCCCTTCTCTCTCCTTCTCTTCTCTCTCCTTCTCTTCCCTTCTCTCTCCTTCTCCTCCTCTTCTCTCTCCTCTTCTCTTCCCCCCCCCTCCTAAAGTGCCATAAATTTATTCTTCCTTTTCTGTAATGGACTGTGGGAATACCTTGAAGAACAAGAGGAAGAGCTTCAACCAAGGCAACTGTCAGATAACAGAAACCTGAGTCCAGTACAGAAATGTAATCTAAGAAAGTGTCTCAGACAAGCCTCTCCCCAATTCTCATAAATATGCAGGAGAGGAAGAGGAGACGACTTTCAGAGTTGGGATCACACTTGGAATATTCCATCCAGTTTAGGTTCCAAATCTCTTTTACAATTCCCAGTGTCTCAAATTTCACACTTCTGTTGTATTCCTATGGTTTGTGTACATACTTGTCCATCTTACTGTTTAGTATTAGGATACAGTCTCTGTTGCAGGACATTTGTTTTTACTAGAGTGATATTCTTTTCCTGTCCTTTGTTTGTTCTCAGGCGAATGTTCCCCAGCTACAAAGTGAAAGTCACTGGACTGAACCCCAAAACGAAGTACATTCTTCTAATGGATATTGTACCCTCCGATGACCATCGATACAAATTTGCAGATAACAAATGGTATGTCTTTAGAGGTGGGATCACAAATCCAACCCAAGTTTAAAAACAAACATCAGGAAAACAGAGACCCAAATGTTGGAAATGTAATCAGACTCCGGGTACCTACTATCATATGTGATGGACATGTATAAAAGCAAGAAACTATTGCATGAAAATACCCACATGGCTGGAAAAGATGATCAAGCAGCATATAGATTTAGAGTCAGAAATATTTCTGTTAGGGACTATATATTTAATGCTACATGTATTGACAGCAGTGAGAATTGTATTGGCACAATATTGGAAAAATGAGAACACCCTACCAGATGAAAGCATCATTCATAAAATATTGGATTGTGCAGAAATGGATAGATTGACAATGAAAATAAAAGATATACAGAGTATTACTTAACACGGAATAGGTTTTATCAATGCTTAGAGATAAGAGGTAGAAATTGGATGAAGAAAGATCATTATTATATATAAGTAAAATATGAATGTTCATAACAGTAAGTATGCTAGTATAATTAATATGATCATAAATAAGCGAATATAATTATAAATATGGTTAGAATTGCTCTGTGTATTATCATTTACTATCAGTATATCTTTTTTTCTTTTGTAAAATGAAATGCCCGGACATTACACTGTATTCAAAATAATTACATATAAATAAAAAAATTGACTAAAAATAAATAAAAGGAAAACAGACCCTGGCTGACTGCAAGATATTTCATTTCGTGCAACCAATCGGAACCAAATATCTTCTAAAAATAAAAACCAAAGGGAAATGATATCAGATCTAGTCCACTGGTAGTCCTCGACTTACAACAGTTCATTTAGTGACCGTTCAAAGTTCCAACGGCACTGAAAAAAGTGACTTATGACCATTTTTCACACTTATGGCCATTGCAGCATCCTGACCATGATCAAAATTCAGACGCTTGGCAACTGACTAATAGTTATGACGGTTGCAGTGGCGGTCAGGGGATCCCCTTTTGCGACTTTCTGACAAGCAAAGTCAATGGGGAAAGCCACACTTGCTTCACAACTGGGTGACAACTGCAGTGATTCACTTAACAACGGTGGCGAGAAAGGTTGTAAAACGGGGCAAGACTCACATAACAAATGGCTCACTTAGCAACAGAAATTGTGGGCTCGGTTATGGTCATAAGTCGAGGATTACTCGTAGACAGGGGCCTTGGTTCATTCATCCTTATTCAGCCCAATTTATCGCACAGAGTGTTTTGTTTATTTTACAGATTGGTCCTTGACTTACAAACCACAATGGAGCCCAAAATTTCTGTTGCTAAGCGAGACAGTGATTAAGTGAGTTTCACCCGATTTTACGATTTTTCTTCTCACAGTTGCTTTTGCAACCTTCGGACAAGCAGAGCAGAGGTGGGTATTCAGCCGGTTCGGACCGGTTCTACAGAACCGGTAGTGAAAATTTTGAGTAGTTCAGAGAACCATCAAATGCCACCTCTGACTGGCCCCGCCAACCCCATCTATTCTCCGCCTCCCATTGAGTCCCAGCTGATTGGCTGGGTCTTCTTTGGTTGCCCTGCACAGGAGAATGGAGCTGGAAAGCAGGTTAGTGGGGTGGGGAGGGAAGGGGGATTTTGCAGTATCCTTCCCCTGCCACACCCACCAAGCCACGCCCATCAAGTCACACCACACCCACCAAGCCATGCCCACAGAACTGATAGTAAAAAAAAATTTGATTCCCACCTTTGAAGCAGAGTCCATGGAGAAGCCAGACTCACTTAACAACCGGGTTATTAACTGAACAGATTTACTTAATAACCATGGGAAGAAAGGTTGTTAAAAAAAAGTGGGGGGCAAAACTCAGCAAATGTTTCACTTAACAACAGGCTCCATTGTGGTCATAAAGGAGGACATGAAAAGAATGCAAATAGAACAGAAGTAAGAAGTAGAACGATAAAATAAACAATGAAAAAGAACACACTTCAATATGTCCCAAAGTTTTTTGTTTTTTTTCAAGAAGCAACTGGACTTTCTGTTTTTTCTTTGAAGACTTTTCACTTCTCATCCAAGAAACTTCTTCAGCTCTGGACTGGATGGTGGGGAATGGAAGGATTTATACTCCTTGCAGACAGCTGGTCAATGACCATCATCTACCACTCAGAGCTAAAGAAGCTTCTTGGATGAGAACCAAAACATCTTCAAAAAAAAAACAAAAAACCAGAAAGTCCAGTTGCCTCTTGAAAAAAAGCAACTTTGGGACAACCATGACCTGGAGGACTGAGAAGCTCCAGAGATAATACTTCAATAGGATAACCAAAATAGATGGACGGGTGGAGAAAAGAGAGTGGGAGGTAAAATCTGCCATCAATCCAGCAACTATCTCCAGCAGGGACCTCCTCAATTTGGTCACCAGGCCAATTGGCAAAGTCAGGTCCTTCAGGCTCTTAAACGGAAGGATAAGAGCGTGGTGGTAGATCTTACCTTTCTTGTTTGAAACTGCGTTCCAATATTCGAAGGGCTGCCACCAAGGAAAGATGGGATCAACCTTATTCTCCAAAGCACCTGGAGGCAAGACAAGACACAATGGATGGTAACTAATCAAGGACTGATCCTATCTAGATCTAAGGAGAAATTTCTGGACAGAACAATAATCAGCAGATCGAATGGCCTCCAGAAGTTGTGGGTGCTGCAACACTGCAGGTTTTGAAGAAGGGACTGAACAACGATTTGCCTGAAATGGTAGAGGGTCTCATGCTTGAGCAAGGGGTTAGACTAGAAGACCTAACAAGGTCTCTTCCAACTCTATCATTGTGTCATTCAGAAAAGAGTTGTTTAGGTCAGTCTTTTTAATCTCCCTATCCTTTGCTGCTTTGGCCTTTTCTGATTTCCCAACAGGTTAAGGGCCAAACAAAGAGGAAAGAAGGGAAGTACAACTCCAAAATATTGTGTTGCTTTTGATAGGTCAGTAACTGGGAAGGCTGAACCATCCATGCCTGGAAGATTGTATGTCCATCCAGACTCACCAGCGACTGGGGCCCATTGGATGAGACAGCTGGTTTCCTTCCAAAAGCTCAAGTTGACCAATAATCATCTTGATCCATTTGGCCATGTAAGTATGACTTAGCTGTTCCAGACTGACATTAGAGTTTGCCAGATTCCTACCTCTTGCAGTTGTAGCTGTAGTAGAGGACATAATTGCTGATAGCTACGAGCATCACATCAGGGATCTCCAAACATGGCAACTTTAAGACTTGTGGACTTCAACTCCCTGAATTCCTCAGCCAACATGGGGAATTCTGGGAGCTGAAGTCCACAAGCCTTAAAAATTGGAGACACCTGGTGTAGAGTATTTTTGGATGAATAATCTCAATCGGTCTCTGAATATCTTCACGTGGATCTTAAGTCAAGCATGAAAACCACCATTTCTTATATGGGACCAGGAACCAACTCCCAACAACTGTATTATCAGGATCATTCGTAAGGTTGCAGCATAGAAAATGTATTCAAGCCAATACACAAGAATCTCGTCAAATGAAATTCAGTACTAAATTGGTGCCAGATAAAGATCAATGGAATTCAGGAGGGGTTAAACTTGGACCACTTGTGGTAATGCAAAAACTGCAAGCTAAACTGCAAGCAAAAACTGCAAGCTAATATTTAATGCCACCCCAACTCTGCCTACATATATCTGTGGGGCTGACTCAACTGTTAGGCTGAAGGTGGAACCACATGGTCAGAGATGGAGACAAAGGGATCAAAATATAGGTCAACTCTTAATGTCCAGTTTTGCTTTAGGTATGAAAATATCCTAAGCCTTTACTTTTGGAGGCAACATTTAAAACAATCTGATGCTTGTCAGCATTGACCTATGAAAAAGTCAAATAATGTTAAACTTGCAATAGTGATAACCTAAAGTGTAATTCATACTGACAGAACATGCTTTTCGTTTCTTCTTTATTTTCAATACTCTTAAGTTACCCAATCCAAAGAGTCTTGAGAACTTTAACACTGTATAAATATCACCGTATTGAAGCAACGTAAAGTATTAAGTTGAATAACTATATTAACAAAAAGGGAAAAGGAAAAAAAACGTTGACATTTTGGAAATCACAGTTAATATTGATATAAACTACTTCTTTATATTTAAAGGTTGCGGTCATATAATACTAGAACGTTAATACTGTAAAAATATCATTCCACACAAACAATATGATGCTCTGCTTATATTGTGTAATATAATATATAAATATAGACAGTACATAATTGCCATCTTGACCTTAGAAAAAACCTTAACAGACAGAATCCTACAAACTCAGCCCATATCTTGTTATAAAATTTTGAATTATTATTTTTATAAATAACTCAAGGCACTGAAAATGCCCAATATGCCTTCCTCCTCTTATTTTGCCCACAACAACAACGTGAGTAAGTTTGGCTGAGAGGGAGAGGGACTGGTCCAAAGTCACCCACCTAATATTCATGGCTAACACAGAACTAGAACTTTCAGTCTCCTGGTGATTGGCCAAAGTCACCCAGCTAGTTTTCCTGCCTAAGGCGGGACTAGAACTCATTGTCTCCTGGTTTCTAGACTGGTGCCTTAACTACTAGACCAAACTGGTCCTTCCTTCCTTCCTTCCTTCCTTCCTTCCTTCCTTCCTTCCTT